ATCGGAATTATATCGTATCGACCGAAATTAAGAAATATATCGTGATATCAATTTTGGCCATATCGTCCAGCCCTATATGTAAGGTGGGAGGAGTAAGATCTGGATCCAACCTCACCCCTGGATCTTGTGTTCTGCAGTGAGGACCATCTCAACAGGTGCATTCGACTTGAAGCACGGCTACAGATGGCGGTCAACGAGAGTAGCCGCTTGCAGTCAGGGGCGGAGGTGAAAACGGAGCCGTCAAGCCGGACACGGACACTACTTACATGTTTTTAACAGTCTATGGTCTAGCTCATCCTTTTGATACAATGATTGGGAATATTTTTTGATATTCAATGATCAGCTATTTCAGAATGAGATTGCTTCTCTCCCGTACATTGTGTCCTACTGGAATGGCCAGTTTATCAACATTCCATGGAAGAAAGTGTGGACTTTGTCATCTAAATATTTAATAACCGATAAGGTCAAGGATGTGTCCTACAAATTACTTCATCTTTGTTTATCCTGTAAAGCTTTACTTAAAAAGAATGTTTCCTGATATTGACTCTGTATGTTCTTTTTGTGGTGCTGAAGATGAATCTATTTCTCATCTCTTCTGGGAATGCTCATATACAAGAATGTTCTGGATGGATTTCTGTATTTTTGTACGCACATTTTCATCACAAAGTTTTTCTTTGTTATACAAAGATGTTTTATTTGGTCAGCACAATTTTGATAAAGATGCAAAGGACCAATATTTCTTGATAAATTTGTTTATTTTTCTAGCGAAATTTTTCTTACATAAATGTAAATTTCAGGGTGCTAAGCCTTACTTTTTTATTTTTCATAAGGAACTTAAATCCTATCTGGACACTCTCCTTACATCCAGCAACTCCAACGCCCTTAAAACTGTCTCATTGTGTCATTTGTACGATATTTTCCTGATTTTGTAACCTGCATTTGTACTCTCAATTGTATGTACCCCTGGCATTGATGGTGTATGTTCTTAGCAATGCAATAAAAATAAAAAATAAAAAAGTCTAACCGGCATGCACTGCTTCAAGTCAGCCGCCGATCGGTCTGCGCAGCGCTGCACGAAGTCGAACGCACCTAATATATGTGGCATTGAAGTTGAGGGGGCGTGTATGATGGGAGGTCGTCAGTGCGGGCGCTCGTGGGAAATTGAGTTCTTTCTGTGAGCTGATTGGTGGAGTAAAGTAGCAATATCAACTACATATCCCAGTGTACAGCATTGCTGTGCCTGTGAAAGCGTATGACATTTCCATATAAGAATAGAGGTGACCCCTCCGTCCGTGCAGTCTGAGAGGCAGAGCAGAGCAGGGCAGTACATCTCAACCTAAACAATCAGACCTGAAACATGGTGAGATTCTCATCCCTCCATTTTAGTCCTGCACAGTATTTTAGCATAACTCAAATTCGCAACGTTTTGTGCACATGACGTGCTAATTTAATCCGAACGCCTTTAGATGAGATTTACTTTAACAAATCTGTTTTAATGTGAAATCTGTGGTCACGAACCACCTAACGATTCATATCGAATTATTTTGAAGCTGTTTGTATCAACGTTTAACGGCCATTTCCGCGTCTGTGGAGTGGGTGTCTGAGGTGGCATCTTTTGTAAATTACTCATTGACACCATTTTGTCGCCATTCTGTCAGATTAGAAATACTTCGAGGCGGAATTTTGTCTCGGCGCGTCGCGCGGAGCATCAGTTGCATCACCGTCTCATTCAGTCATTCACTAATTATTTGAGGATATACACAGAAATGAACTCCCATTCACTCAGACCATTATGTGCAAATGATCAAATATTTTATTGTAATTCGTGACTACGCTCATTCCAGATCGCTAGGCCTTTGTTCACATAAATAGGTCATGTTATTGACGCCAGTGACTGTTTTATTTCAGGCCGAACCGATCCGTGTGCTGGTGACTGGCGCAGCTGGACAGATCGCTTATTCTCTGCTCTACAGCATCGCTAAAGGAGATGTGTTCGGCAAGGACCAGGTGAGACAGACTGGCTGTGTTATTGCGTAACGAGACACTGGAGGGAACTGGATTTTAAACTATACTCTTGTGTTATATAAGAATGTGTGATTTAAAATATGCGACTCTCTTGGTCCCTCTGTGATGCATATCTATGTTCTGTTTCTGCAGTATATAATATATGAGCATGTATGCATGTAACAATAACGATATTTAGTCTTTTTTTTTTTTAATGTTGCTACATGTTTCAGAACGTTCAGGGAACATACAAAAGTAACATTCCCATAGTGTTTGCAAAACGATTAAATCAAATGGTTATTTGTTTATGCTTTTAAAACATTTTAAAAACTGGGCATTTTGTGCATTCATAGACCCTTCAAAAAATAGAATTATAATGTTTTTATAATTTAATGGGAATGTTAGGAAAGCGTTCTTAGAACATATTTTTGTTAGCTGAAACATTCTGAATATTTTAATAACAAAAAAAAACAGCAATAATATTGCTAGAGGTTTTGAGATTTAGATGGTTGCATTTACTTTTTTATTTATGCATTAAATTTGTGCTTATCAATAGCCAATATTAAAGTGTTCTTGAGTCTTGAGTAAATATTGTGTAACGAAAAAAAGTTGGTAGTGTTTATAGAAAAAAATATACATGTACAGCTCAATTGCTTAATTCAGATATGTTAGCCTATATCATATATTGCATTATATTGGCTGTCTTGCTCTCTAGTTATTGCTATCAACATCAGCCATATTGGTTGACCACCACTATATACTACGCCTTTCAAAATGTGCATTTACCTATACTGGATCCCACTATACGAGGACATGTACGCGTTGTAATACTGTATTAAATGTGTATCATTGTATGTCTATGGTCTAAAGCAGCAGTTCTCAATTCCAGTCCTTGCGACCCCCCGCTCTGCATATTTTGCATGTCTCTGATTC